ATCATGGATGTTGCCTTACTGGGCATGCCATTTAAGAGAAGAGACCCTTGAAACCAAGAATAGAATAATTCAAAAGGGACCAGTTTATAGCAGACAATTTTAGAATTTTTATATCAAGCTAGCTGTGCCATAGTAACTGGGACTATCATCTAGACCTGTTGACAATTAACAGCAAATCAGGGCAACTTTAGTGTAACTGACTGTTAGTCAGCTGTCTGGTACTGTAACAAAATACCTGAGACAGTTAACTTAAAAAGAGGAAAGGTTGGAGCTGCAGAGATGGCTCAGAGGTTTAGAGTGCTTCTTCCTTCTCTTCAGAGGACCAGTGCTGGCAGGAGATGGCTCTCTATTGCCTCATACTCTAGCGCAAGAGGACCCAGTGTCCTTAGTCTCTCTGGCACCCAAACATGCATGGCATACATTCACATAGACATAAAGTAAATCTTAAAGGAAAAAAAAAAAAAAAAGAAGAAGAAGAAGAAGGTTTGTCTTGGCTTGCAGTTCTGTAAGCTTCAGCCCATGGTCAGTCCTGTTCTGTTAGATAGCCGCACATCATGGTGGGGGCTGGGTAGCGCAGGCTCATCCTGTGCATTCAGGAAACAAGGAAAGGGTGGATGTGACTTGAGGTCTCATGTCCCCTTTGGAGGGTATGCTCCACCGACCTAAGCTCACACAAGGCCCCATCTCTCAATAGTGCCACCCAGGCCTTGGGGACAAGTTGTCCCAACCATGTACCTCTCTGCTAGTGTTTGGCTTGTTCAGGATGGACGGACACACTCTGGCCTGGACAAGCAGCAACTTAGCATCCGGTTGTTTACTGTGGGTTTTCTTTGTCCCACAGCTGAGGGCTCTCTCGGCTACTGCATTCCTTCCTTTTAAGATAGTTTGGTCACTCTTAGAACTTTCTCTTTGGGGGCACCTGTGACTGGTTGGCTTCTGCATCCTCTGCGGGGAGATGGGGTTAAAGACAGGCACCAAATGAGCTCCAGAAGAGCTGGGACCAGAGACTGTCAACACACAAAAGACGTCCTTAGTAGCAGCTGTGGCGAATTTGATTAGCTGTATTTTATACAAATTGTTTAGAATGGTTTTTGAGACTTAGAAGGGAAATATACTTACCGTTATAAGTACTATACTTAAATTATGCTTTATGTGGGGACTGGGAAATGTATTTTTACATTGCTTATATCCAATCACTTTTGTATTTGTTGATTTAAAGCCTGTGGGTCTTTTTTTTAATCACTCTTAATATAACTTTTATAATCTTTTAAAATAAACCCTCTTAATTCCAGTGTGGGGGAGAAAGATTACGATTTTCCAGCTTTATCACAGTCCATAAGGAGATTAGCACCTTCACTTTACTGGCCCTTTCATAATGCACCATTGCAGAATATCACATTTTCTTACATGGCTCAGCTCATCAAAACAGCTAAAGCTTAACAGAGTAGCAAAGAGAACGAGGTTAGACATTCATTTTTAAATCAGTTCTTTCAGCCTGAATAGACCCCAGGGAGGGAAGACTCTGTGGGATTGCTCAGGTCATTGTAGCACTGTATCATAGGAAAGGCAAGCTCTGGTCTCTGGTGTCTGGTGTTCCTAGCTGTGGCACCTGTGGCACTAACTCTTTAGCCCCTTATTTATTTAATTTTATGATTACATATTAAGAAAGACATCATAATATGAAACATTTTATGAATTCAAAATGTCCCATAACATATCCAGTTTCCTTCTCATTTAAATTTTCAGTGAAACTCCAAAGTTTCCTCTTAAAGAAGATTACTGTGTCTGAACTGCGGGATCCTGCAACATCAAAAAAAATAAAGGCCCTTTTGTACTTTAAGAAGGAAGATTGGGGCACAACCACAATCTACACAAGGCAAAGCCACGCTCCAACAGTATAAACAACTCAGTGTTCACTATGTTCACTATGAGATTCACACAGTTTTCTTTGCTTTCCCAAGGCTTACCTCTCTGGCCCCACCCTTACCAGTACACACAGAAGGTTCTTATCATTGCAGCTAGTGTTTCTGGTGGATATCACAAAGCATTAGCATCTCTAAAACTGCTGGGGTCCCCACTGCAAACTGGGCCCTTGTTAGGAACTCTAGCCTGGCCACACAAGCTGCTCTTCATGACCGGTTCATGCCTTTAAAAGCAATTCCACCTGGGTGACTCTTACGTTATAAAGTTTGGCTGCAGGCAGAGGCACATTTTTGTATGCATGGAGGTACAGCTTTAATCCCTTATTAAACAAGCATTATTTTTAAATCCTATCTTTCATAAATCTTGTTTTCAGGACAGGAATTATCATACAAAAATCCTTCCTAATCCAAATATCTTGGAGCCTGTTGTTGCCTCCTTGGTTGGCCTACAACACATGGTCATCTTTAATCAAGATGGTAAAGTCACATGACAAATACTTTTCTACAACCCTAGCAAAGATAATTGACAGCCACTGGATGACTAAAGAGGGCAGTGAAGTCCTGTGGTGCTCATGTCCCAAGATGACATCAAAGGACATGAATCCTTTAAGATAGCCTATGCATGGATTTGAAAGGATAAAGTCTGTATTACGAGTTTTAAGTTAACTTTTTTTGTTATGGATATTACAGATTTTTAACCATACTCAATAAACGGACAAATCTTAACTTTTATGTCTTATCAAAAGTCTTAGCAATTAAATGAAACCAATAATCTTTTTTTTTTGTTGTTGTTGTTGTTGTTGTTAAGCTATTCTGCTTTACTCTCATCTCCCTGTGACAGCAGCAGGTGACTGTCTGACCCTGAACATAGAGACTTAAAAAACCTGCCTGGGTCTGAAAAAAGAGAGCCATGGTCCAGTTCCAGAACCAGCCTGTCAATAAAGCAGAACAGCATAAAACAACACAAAGATTACATATACCTGAGTAGTATTTGAATCCCTCCTAACCTGGACTCATTGGCTATAAACCTAGAGACGAATTCTGAGGCCTGGCTACCAGAGCAGTTATGGTAGCAGGGGAAGCTCCCATACTCCACGGAAACCAATCCAAAATAAAACATGCTATTATCATGCATTCAGCTGATCCTGATCTATTGCAGCCTTACAGTCACATCAGAAAACAGACCCATCCATACACCCAAGACAGACAGATGAAACTTTCCCTTCTATTGGAGCCTGGTGGTAATCACTGAGTAATTGCCTACTTCCTTCATTGTTATAATCCCAAGGGGACCTACATCTTGGCAGGACTAAATCCTTAACTGGAGGGGGAAGTTTCTAGAGCCCAAACTGGAGGACAAGCCAGTTTACCACTCTTGTGACCCATGTCATTTGTCCATTTCAGTCACCCGAAGTTGGAACACAAAGACAGGTAAAACATAAGACACAACTCAAGACAACGATTAAGAAAACAATTGGAGTTGTTCAGAGGTCCACCTGTTTGAACAAAGAAAAATTCTTAACTGTAGGGGACTATCACCATCCTCACTACCTCAGGCCTCTAAGATAGAAAATTACTGCCTCTTAAGAAATAAGCATTTCTAGATACAGGCTTGTGGCTTCACAACCAGTTAAAGAATAGCTCAGGATATTCCTCATGCTATAATTTTACAGTCAGTTAAAGATTAGTTCAGGGCATTCCTTCTACTGACCCTTTTATCCTGCTTATGTGCAAACCCTGCTCACATCCTGCCTATGGCCCTATATAAGCTTCCCCTGAGAAAATAAAATTTGTTAGCTTGATCAGAATACTATCTTGTTGCCACATCCTTTTTGTATCCCTTGTTCTTCAATTCCTCTTAGGTGTTTCCTGGTTTGTCGTTGACTGCCCCGCAGGTCTGGGCACTTAACAAGTGGGGATACACCTCTTTTTCCTCAATGGCCCCCTGCATGACCTACCAGAGGCCAGGCTGCTCTGAGTTCTCCTTGGCTCCCAAAATGCCTGCCATCCTTCCTCAAGCCTCTACAAACCTTCAGCTTGCTTGCTATAGAGTTACGGGACATTCTGAAGGTTCCTTGACTTTGAGGTGCAACATAGGCATGGAAAACCTATAGACAGGTGCTGGGCTTCTCCAAGTGTGTAGGTTCCTAGTCTTCACCAGGGTGTTCTCAGGATTTCAAGGCAGATCACTGCTTGTTGCTGTCTGAACTCCCAGTTAGCCAGAAATAATCAGAGGGCCCTGCTATGCTTTACCCTGAACCAGAGAGGGGTTGTTCCACAGATTTCATCAATTCCTCCTCATTCCTAGATCAGGATCTCAAAGAACCTGAACAGAACCAAAAACTAGATGCCATAGAAAACTAAAAATGCTTCAGGGACTTACTAAAAGGAAACATTCCCCCCCCCACCACCAAAAACAAAACAAAACAAAAAACACCTCACCTTCCTTGCTATCTCCTTTTGCAAGCACAGCTTGTTGGCTCCAGGAGTCACATGGCAGGAACCTTGATTAACATTCCAAAGTGCAAAGTGTACACACTGGTGGTGGCAGAGACAGCTCAACCTTTCAGGAATCCCAGAGCCAAGGATCTGGCTTCAGAATTTGGGTGGATAGTCTCATCTTGCTTGGGAGCTCTAAATGTTAAGCCTGAGAATCAGGAGGATAAAACAAAAAAATCCTAAATCTGCAACTGTCTAGATAAAACATGCTGTATTTTGGGGTGCACCCATGACTGGTCAGCCACCTATCTCGTCCATGGGATTTGAGAAAACAGTCTCTGCTGGCTGTTTGCTTTGTTTTTTTGTTTGTGTTTTGAGACAGGGTTTCTCTGTGCAGTCTTGGCTGTCCTGGAACTTGCTCTGTAGACCAGGCTAACCTCAAAATCAGAAATCTGCCTGCCTCTGCCCTCTGAGTGTTGGGGTTAATTAAGGTCCTTTTAAAAGGAGAGATAATGTATTCACAGGAGCAAGAGTCAGCTGATGTTCATTGTTAGAAAATACAATGAGGCTCTCTGATGCTCCTTGTTCTAGAGACAGCTGCATCTTTTCATGCAGTGCCCGCCTCGTTTCTCAGACACAATGGTGAAGGTCGGAGTGAACAGATTTGGCTGTATTGAACTACTCCTGGTTACCAGGGCTGCCATTAATTCTGGCAAAGTGGACATTGTTGCCATTAATGACCCCTTCATTGACCTCAACCACATAGTCTATATGTTCCATTATGACTTTACCTATGGCAAGTTCAAGGGCACAGTCAAGGCTGAGAATGGGAAGCTTGTCATCATCTTCCAGGAGCGAGATCCTGCCAATATCAAATGGGGTGATGCTGGTGCCGAGTATGTTGTGGAGTCTACTAGCATCTTCACCACAGAAAAGGCTGGGGCCCACTTGAAGTGTGGAACCAAGAGGGTCATCATCTCCGCCCCTTCTGCTGATGCCCTCATATTTGTGATTGGGGTGAATCATGGGAAATATGACAACTCCCTCAAGATTGTCAGCAACTCTTCCTGCACCACCAACTGCTTAGTCCCCCTGGCCAAGGTCATCCATGACAACTTTGGCATTGTGGAAGGACTCATGACCACATTCCATGCCATCACTGCTACCCAGAAGACTGTGGATGGCTCCTCTGGGAAGCTGTGGCATGATGGGCCTGGGGCTGCCCAGAACACCATCCTTGCATCCACTGGTGCTGCCAAGGCTGTGGGCAAGGTCATCCCAGAGCTGAATAGGAAGCTCACTGGCATGGTCTTCCGTGTTCCTACCCCCAATGTGTCCATCATGGATCTGACATGTTGCCTGGAAAAAGCTGCCAAGTATGACGACATCAAGAAAGTGGTGAAGCACGCATCTGAGGGTCCACTGAAGGGCATCCTTGGCTACACCGAGGACCAGGTTGTCTCCTGCGACTTCAACAGTGACTCCCACTCTTTCCACCTTTGATGCTGGGGCTGGCATCACTCTCAATGACAACTTCGTAAAGCTCATTTCCTGGTATGACAATGAATTCGGCTACAGCAACAGGGTGGTGGACCTCATGGCCTACATGGTCTCCAAGGAGTAAGAGCCCATCCTAGACCATCCACCCCCAGCAATAACATGAGCAAGAGAGAGGCCCTGGCTGTGTCCAACAACCCCCACACTAATCTCCCTCACTGTTTCCATCCCAGAACCCCAGAATTAAGGGGCTTAGGGAACCCTGCTCTCTTGAGTACCATCAATAAAGTTCACTGTACCTGTCAAAAAAAGATAAAAAAAAGAAAAAAGAAAAGAAAATACAATGAAAAGGGAGGAACAAGGTAAGGACATATACATCACTTAAATAGGGTTCTATATTTAGGGTAGGTTGAAAAATATTTTTTCAGTTTATATCAGCTCCAACAAACAGGAACTAATTCTTAATTACAAGTAAAAACCTTAACTTGTAAGTACTTAAAACAGCACAAACAGGAACAAAGATTTAACACAGGACTAACCAGACCTTATTCTTAACTGTCATAAGGGTCAATAGAACCCTAGCCTGCAAGGTGTATGGTTCCTGTTTTGGTCTCACAGATAATCTTTGATCAGTGGCACACCCAGGGTAACGTTCACAGAGGCTACCCCTGCAAAGTGGAAAGTGTTAATGTTCATCTGGCTGTCTCCCTTACCAATGCTCTGTGCACCGAGCGCATCTACTGCAGGGCCTGGCCCCGTCTGTGCCCTAGAAGAAAAGGGCAGAGAAGAGGACACGACACAACAGTGAAAAGTGCTCGGGACAGGTTTCCAGTTACTGCTTCTGAAAAGAAAATGTATACATTCTGTTTGGTTTAGCATGAAAACAGCAATGGGCAAGGCACTCTTTGTGCCAGAAGAAGGGGCCAGCAGCACAGGCTAGGAACAAGTGAGTGACATGGTCACAAGGGCTCAGACTGTAACTAAATTCTGTTTAGTCACGTGTGTATGGGTGAGGTCCACTGTGTGATGACATTTAAAGTGGTCAGTGTTTTCTGGGTAGTAAAGGTCCTCAGAGAACTGGAATCACAACACAGAATGTGAGTTTTCTTAGGGGCCAAAGACATTCAGGAAATTCCTCCACAAGTCCTTCCACATTCAGGAGCATTCAGCCATAGATGCAAGACACAGATCTGCTCAGAGCCTGGCAATGATGCTGGGGCAGGGTACTTGTTAGTTTTTATTATCAGACTGAGCCAAACTATAGTCACCTGGGAAGAGGGACTCTCAATGAAGAATTATCTAGATCAGGTTGACTTTGGGCATCTGTGGGAGATTTTATAGATTGTTATTTGAGATGAGAAGACCCACCCTGAAAGTAGGCAGCATCATTTCATTGTCTGGGACCTGAAGTGTGTGACAGTATAAAAAGCTAGAGCATAAACACAGGCAAGCAGGCAGGATGTGTGTATTCACTTCTCTCTGCTCTTCACTGTGGATGATGTGATTAGCTGACTGAGTTCCTGCCTCAACTTCCCCAAAACAGACTATAACCTGAACCTGTGGAGGAAGTCACGTCTTCCCCTGCTAAGTTGCTGGGACTGGAACTCAATGCAATGAAGATGCTAAGAAGCCACTCTGTAACACCGGGATTGGCACAAGTCAATGTAAAAGTAATTCATAAGATGCTCAATTGCAGACCATTTGTCCCAGAAGAGAAACTCCTCCATCCCTCTGAATTGAACCCTGTGGTATTGTTTTTCATTCACAGTATTACAAAGACATAAGGCCATCTACTGACTCATACACCAAGTAGCCTTGTCCACAAATGGCTCCAGACAGTATCTTATCATGTCAAGTGCTACTGTAATTTCTTCTAATGTATTAAATAAAACAAGGCTTACATATTGCAACATATTTTCTGTGACTTTCCTAACCATTAGGATGTTGAGATCTGGGGAAAAGGATCTGAAATCACATCACTAGTCATGACTATCAACCTTATGCTATGTCCTTCCTTGGAGGTCAGGATATGCTCCTTAAAGTTCAGAACATGGAAGTCCCTAACTGCCAGGTATGTGGGGCGTAAGTAACAAGTGGTAGAGTCCAGTAGTTACCTTAGGTTAGAGATTGACCCTAGGGCCGAGGAACACACAACCCTGGGAGGACTTCCTGGCTCCCCTCTAACATCTGTATTTCTTTAGCAAGGCTTCTTCTGTAAACAGATCTTTGACAAACTTCCTCCTTCAAAAATAAATGGAAGAAATTAGAAGAGAAAAGCCCCTCTTAGAACATGTGATTACCCCTTCTGAAGGCAATCCAAGGGCAATCAAAGGGCAATCCAAGGAGACTACCAGCTTTTACCAGGAACCTCAATAATAACATTTACAGGGACAGGATGCAGGTCTGTGGAACAGAGTAAAAAAGCCAGAAAAATAAAGGGGAGACAACAGAGACACCCATGATGTTTACTGTAATGTGCATGGAAGTTTAGCCTCTCAGTGTGTCAGTTTCCTCCAGGTAAAGAAAGGAGGGTTGGGATGGACCAGGGTGAAGGGAGATGCCAGGAAAGACCTTATAAAACCACTCCCTTTACAAGTGCAGCTATTAAGAGCCACAGAAACTGGTCTCCTCCACCTATGGCCCACAAGTTGCTACAGGAATTTTATTGTTTATTTTCCCTAATCTCTTCATTCTCTATCATTTTACATATGTCTCTTTATTGCTTTTATTATATATATATCGGTTCACTTAACACAAAGGCAGGATCTAGGCAAGACACATGTGCTATTATCTTCAGGCTCTGAAGTGTTAAATAAACTACACACAGTGATTTAAAACTCCTAACATTCAATCCTTCCCAAGCATTTTAACCACTGAAAACCAGTTTCCTCTCTGAAAAAGCAGGAATAATAGATCACATGTCTCTAATAGCTATTAAAGTGGACAATTGAGAAATGCTACAACAGCACACAATATGCCATGCATTCCTCTGCCTTCTTCCTATGTCTTCTTCCTTATCTAAGAGGATGTCTTCCATTCTCCCCAGCCCTGAGAGGACAAGCCTACCACTTGTCTCAAAGTCTCAGCAGTATGTCTCTCTTACACTCTTGCAAACCAGCCACTTCCAAGTCAAGATCACAGGGTTGCAAAGCGCACTGCTCACAGGAATCAGTCACCAGGTGTCCTTCAGAGGACATCAGCTCTCACCTAAGGAAACTGAGCCTCACCCAAAAGTACTAGGATTTTAACATGATGCAATGCATCTTCCCTAACTTTTCTGCCTCATTATTCATAAAGGAAAATGGGGAAGGCACTGTGCATAATTCCCAGGTAATCTGAGTCAGCTAGGAGACTGAGCTCCAGGAAGCAAGAAGAAAGAGCTACACAGAGAAAAGAGTCAAGTTGTCTAAAACAGGTGTGAGGGATCAAAACTCAGACTTTCTTCCCCTCACATAGAATCCCTTCTTGCTGATTTCATCCTCTGCCTCCCATCGTATTAACAAACAGTGAGGAGTTTAGAGAAGGGCTGACCACATCCTTCCAAGGTGTTCCCCCACCTCAGCCCAGCCACCAAGAATGACAATCTCATGAGAACCCTACAGGAGGGGCAAACATGACAGATAATGCAAGGCTTTTATTAGTGTGTTATTATCCTTTGCAGAGATCCTCAGACACGACAGGATGCATGAATTCAGGTGCAGGCATTAATCCCTTCCTGGGTGGGCTAAGAGAATGTAACTTTTGCCATACAGGTAGAACAATGGCCTTGAGCAGATCCTTGCCCAGCTCAGTAAGATACAGAGAGAAGTCGTGGCCCCACAGGTTTGAGCAGACAAGGGGACTTCTACACACCCTTGACATCTGTGAAGTGTGGCAGCCCAATGACTCCCTTCAGGGAGAGAGTGGGCAGCATGTGTGGCTGCATCTTCTTCAGTGAAGAGCCCAGGTCCAGGAAGTGGCTCTGTTCCTCAGCCAGATGCACCTGGAGCAGCAGCTCCTCCTTGCTGCCTCCTTGTCCAGCTTAGGCCCCTTCATTGGGCTTAGTGCTCCCCTGCCTCCAAGCATGGGCTCCACCTCGGTCAGGGCCTAAGCCAGGTTCTGCTGCCATCCGGCAAGCAATTCCTTGTGTGGAAGATCCCAGGTGGCTCCCTGCCCCGCCCTTCCCTGCCCCGCCCTGCCCTCTGCCCTGCCCTCTGCCCTGCCCTCTGCCCTGCCCCGCCCTGCCCTCTGCCCTGCCCCGCCCTGCCCTCTGCCCCACCCTGCCTTCTGCCCTGCCCTGCTTGCTTTGCAGACTAGTGGCAAGGCTCCCTCGACCCAGTTCAGATGTTGGGTCTGAACTGGCATTCTGGGCCCAAAGTTCATGTTCTGCATCCTGGCCTCAGGGCGTACCTCAGTTGGATGTTGATGGGATTGGTCTCGGGGCTGGCCTAAAGGCTCTCCCACTCTGCTTTTTAGCTGGATCTTGCCTGCTGCCAAATTCCATTTGCTGCTTATGTACAGTGGCTGAGTTCCCAAGACTCCCAGACTCAACCACTTCAGCCTGCACGACTGAGGCCTGCGCCTACAGCCTCTCTGCTCACTGGCCAGCCTTCCTGCTGGAGACTGAGGCTGGTATTCTAAAGCACCACAAGGTCACACCCCTAAATCTGATCAGGACCTTTCCCCACCCAGGCCACCATGACTGGCCCCACTCCTTCTCTGCCCCCAAAGGCCCTTGAGTTTTCAGGTTGAAGGAGCAGGTGATGGCAGTTTGACCTGAATCCAAGCTATTTGAAAAACACTCCTCACCTGTTCGCATACTGCCCATAATCTAGGGGCTCCTGAGATTTCCAAAACACAAACCTTGGAAACAACAGAAATACCTACCCACAAACTCAGGCATCTCCAATTTAAGAACTCTCCAGTATCAGCCCCCTTTCCAAGAATTTATCACAAACAAAATCTTCCAATAAATTCCCCAAACCTGCCTAAAAGCTAATAACATCCCGCTCCCTGTATCTGAGCAC